AACCTCATCATTTCTCACGCCAACGGAATCCTCTTCTCTCAGAACATCCACGTCATTTTCTATCTTGATTTTATCAATATTCTGCTGTAAAATTATGAGTTAAACATAAATTCCTTGAGATGATATGCATCAAATGCAGGTATAAACTGGATGGGAATCTACAATTTGGGTATCTTCAGGATAAAATTGTACATCACAAATCAATTTCACATAAAAATTTCCAGAATATAAGAAACTGCTGTAATGCAATGTGCGACAAGAAATTTACTGGAGTCTTACTGTAGTGAAGCCACGGTACATAGCATCTCACATTCAACCCCGATAGATACACATGTTCTTTCTTTCTTTTATAAAGTTAATTCCACACTGTTAACTGTGTAGCGGTCATGCTCATGGTAGCCATAACATAATGAACACAAGACGGGAATCCTTTTCAATCACATTATAACATAATGACTCGAGGCCTTTTCATAACTATTAGCCATCTTTGTTTCTATACACACAAACACTCACCCAGGTTCCATTCAGAGATGGAAATATTTCTTCAGCTCTGTGCAATATAATTCTCGGCACTCGTGTTGCAATAGACTGCAATATTTCTTTAAGGTAGGAAACTTGTTCATCACACATCATGATTGGAGAACTGTATAGGACAATAGCTTAAAACAATGCTACTGATGCACCTCCAAACTCCTGAGTAGACGCGGCCAAAGATATTAGTCTCCGTTCGCAGTCAGCGAAAATACTTCTGCATTCGGGTGCACAGAGAAACGAACCAAACTTAACCGTGGGTTTTCGGGGCTGGAGTTGAGTGTTTTATGTTAACCAACATTTCGGCAAACAATGCAGTTGCCTTTTCGAGATGGTACATGTGATATTTAGTTTGGAAAGATCAGTTTTCGTTTGGGAAGTGGTATCTTTTCGACTGTTACACATTGTGATGGAAACAATGCATAGCCTGTCAGGACGCTGCATGTCTGAGTGCATAATTTTGCGTTGTCCAGTTTTTAATGATAAGAGGCTCAGTGTTACCAACAGACAAAGTCCTTTATCAGGAGTCACGTTAGTCGTAGATAGCCGATACCTCGGATCACTTTCGTTGTTGGTCTATACGTTAACAGTTCATATTGTGACATCGATTTGAAAGTGCTCTGAAATGGTCAGCGAAGCTTGGTGATAAATAGTGCGACATCAATTAACTGAGGGAACGCCATTGAGATTGAACCAATAAAACACGCTTTTGTCTTTCTTTGTTCCTACGGGAACCCGTTAAAGGAAATGAGGGAATCTAACATTCATTTGAGGTATAGCGTCGCATAGACAGGTAAAAACTTATCTTCGTTTTAGAGGTGATAAGTGATGTGTGTAGTCCTGGTAAGAAACACTGTTTATTTACTTCTTATTGGTTGGTACAGAACAGAGTGCACAGAGAATACCAAGGCTGTCTTTTTGAATATACGTGACTTTTGAATGTAATGAGTTTTTAAGAAATGCTGTTACTAAAAATTGTAGTAAGTTATATCTTCACTGCAAGTAGCGTGTTTTATAAAAGAAAAATGTTGGTTGGTTTTGTTGGTTTCTCATTAATATTGTGATGTATTAGTTATATAATTAATAGTGAGTCAGGATGAATTTGGAAATAAGTCATTGTTTGTAAGACTTGAGGTTCTCACAGCGGTGAATATGAAGATTTCTGTCTTCTGGGTTATTGCGCTGTGTAGTCTGGTCGATGTTAACCAACGTTTCAGAGGTCATACTGCCTCCGTCATCAGGGCGATGAATATGCCAATAGGAAACCAACCAACCAACCAAAGAAGCTAACTGAGGGCAGAGGCCTGCGCAAGCGCAAGCATCGTCCCTACCTAGGTGACTTTAGTAAGGTTAGCCAGTTCCCTTGACTATATTTGATTATGTTAGCTATTGAATATGAAGATGATTTGTTGATTATTAGACCTGCTGAGTCTCTAACCTAAAGTAAGAATGGTGCAATAGTTATGTATCAGTACCAAGTAAACTCAAGTTGGTACAGATTTGGTAATAATGTATGTAAATTAAAATGAGGTCATACTGAAGGTGTAATGGCAACTATACCAGAGAATGTATAATTATTTTATGTTCGTTTTTATATTCAGGTACATAAATAAGATGGATGTTCCAGTAGAGCGTGTATTGGTTGCCGTAAGGGTGCGTCCACTTTCAGATAAAGAAAATAAGAAAAATGCTTTCAGTGTTGTACAGGCATTGCCACATGAGCCAAAGGTAAATTTTATTCTCGATATGCAGTGATGTACTTCTTGGAATGTTGTAGGAATGTTGTAAATAATTTAAACTGATGTTTTCCAGGTATTGTCAGTTGCAGGAAAAGGCTATGCCTTTGATCACATATTTACAGATATTTGTGAACAGGCATCAGTGTATGAAGAAAGTGTGAGGCCATTGGTGAAGAAATTCTGTGCTGGCTTTAACTGTGCAGTCATTACATATGGACATACTGGTACTGGGAAGACATACACTATAGGAACTGATTCAAAGGTATGCATACAGTGTCATCAGGCTAGTGCATATTATGGTATGGGTTAATTGAGAACAGATGCAGCACTTGAAGATGGCTGTGTTCTGGGTTATAACGTCATGTAGTCAGGTAGAAGTTTACCAAAGTTTCAGAGGATTTTGCTGCCTCAAAGTACCTCTGAAAAGGTGGTAAACTTCTACAAAACTACATGATGTTGTAACCCAGAAGACAGCCATCTTTATACTCAGCTCTGTGAGAATCTCAAGTCCTACAGAAATGATACTGTCTGTGTATCTTTAATATTTATGGGTTTTTTATTGCATTGCGCTGATATTGAGATTGAAGTGGATTTTGGTAGAGAATGATAAACATTTTCATTATTTTGGCATTTTTTATATTAAGATTTTACTGTGTTTACTGAAAGTGGAATAGAAACAAAGAAGTGACTGAGAAGAAACTGCTTGTTTTTTCTTTTGTGACTGCTGTTTCTTGGTTTGGGAGCTATGGAACGTATCCAACCAGAACCAAAGGAAGGGCACATATGTATCATATATGTGACCATTTAATGTGAGAGGAGTAATGGAATTGGAGATTATTTCTGCATAAATTGAATATGTTTTTAACTTTTAATTCTGATATGCAGTTGTATGAGGATGACTCTGCTGGGATAATAAGTCGAGTTGTTAAAGACATTCTTTCCGGAAACAACACCATGGATTCTAAAGTAATGGTAGAGATATCCTTCATGGAAATTTACAATGAAGAGGTTTATGACTTACTGACTTGCCAGCCAACAAAGCTGATTGTTCAAGGTGAGTTTTTGTGAATACATTTGTAATTCAAAATGATTGTGTATTAACAGAAAGACAGTAACTGATGCAAGGGCATTTGAATTGGATATATTACGTTCAGAAGCTCCTTTATTATGTTTAATTACAAAAGATTCTCTCGACAGAAGAATCTTACTTCTGTTACGCACAAACACACATGAGGGTTGAACACAAATGATTTGAGCAGTTTCAAGAATTTATTTAATAAATAAAAAATAAAAAGAAAGGTTGTCCAAATATACGCTATGCTAACACTCAGGGGGAGAGGCAGTATAGCTCCTACTCATTCCTGATCTCGGCACTAGATGGGGGTGAGTGGTCAGCATCATGCCTCGGCCGTGCTTTACCCCTGGGAAAGGACCCCGGTACCCAATGGATAGGGGGCTGGGAGGGCCCTAGAACTGGTCTGGGCAGGAGGCTAAAAGATAAATCCTCTGCCCCAATTGCAGATCGAACCCCGGTCGCCCAGTCCGAAGCTAGTCACCATACTGACTGAGCTACCAGATTGTAATGAATCAAATTGTAAGTGATAAATTAATTTTGCCGAAGGCTGTGACAGAGGGATGAAATTCACACAAACATTTCTCATTTCTGGGATGTAATGTTGGCTGGCTATAGTTGTTTGAGATCATGTGGAGTGATGAGGGAATGTTTCATGTTGGTGAGTTCGTGAACTGGCACAACAATCATTACTGTGCAGTAGACTCGATTCCCGGCGGTGCCCGAATTTATAACTTGTGTTGGGCAAGGCCGTGGTCTAATCAACACGGAGTTTTCCTCCGTGGCATCCCAACAATTACTCCATTCACACACAGAAGAAGGCAATGGCAAACCACTTCTGGATCATCTGCCAAGAACGTATATGAACGGGTCCCAGTCCGAGAAAAGGATGGAAGGATCCTGTTCATATGGACCTGTCGTCAGACAGAACACTAAATAAAATAATAATAAAAACCCCCTTGACCTTCGTGTGTTAAATGATCACATTGTCTGAAGGTAACACTCTGGTGTCCTGTTGCCACAATTGTATTTTTCACTTTGAGAGATCACGAGTGTCGTAAGAAATGTTACAAGATTATGTGTTGGTGGTCATTTGTCAGTGGGAAAACATGACAGTACTTAATTTTTTGCAAGATGAGGGCAACCCTTCATTCTGCCTGTGCATTGCTGTTGATCGTTTCCCACGACAACTGGTCGGGAAAACTGACATTCATGAATGGCCTCCCCACAGCCTAGACTTGATACTTCATTGCGTTTTGCTGTAAGGTTGAGTCACTTAAAAAGTTTCATCACACAAAAACAAGAAATATGGAAGAAATTAGGGAGAGAATAACCAGTGTTCTTACGAACTTTTCTGGAAACATGTGATTAGCAGTAATAAAATGTCTACAACTTTGAAAAGCAGGTAGTGACTTAACATATAAAAACTATAAAGGAATATGTAAGCCAATCAGTAGTCAGTATAGTATAATCTTAATAATCCAGGATCTTCGTCCTTCCTCGCTTAGCTTGTTAACCCAGCTGGGTGCTCCCAACCCTCACTTTCCTATGTTCTCTACCTTGAAATCCATTCTTTCTCTACTTTCTGTACCTTGCCATGCTTCCCTTCTTTTTTAAAACATTTTCAGAATTGTGGGACAAAAGCTGAAGGAAATGAACGATGTAAATTTTAGCGATACGTAATACATTGTAACTGTTTTGTCATGTTATATCAGCTTTAGTCATCAGAAGCTATTCCAACCTTTTGTAAGCCTTATCTCTCCAGAACCCATTGCTCGGTAAACTTCCCATAATTTTTCTATTACTGTGCACAGTGATTTAATTCCATTACCCACACAATTATCGTCAACACAGGCGGCATACAGTTCTCTAACATACAAAAACATGAAGATTTCCGTCTTCTGGGTTATTGCGCTGTATAGTCTGGTCGATGTTAACCAACGTTTCAGAGGTCCTACTGCCTCCGTCATCAGGGCCCTGATGACGGAGGCAGTAGGACCTCTGAAACGTTGGTTAACATCGACCAGACTGCACAGCGCAATAACCCAGAAGACGGATATCTTCATACTCACCGCTGTGAGAACCTCAAGTCTTACATACAAAAACATTTCTGTTGGAGGATAGTACAGCGCTCAATAGATGAGATGTTACTGTTCCTTGCAGTTTTTAGTGTCCAGAGTTTGAAACGCATGCAAGTAACAACATATGAGGAAGTTCTTCATCATCTGGAGTTTGGTGGCGCAAATAGACATACCAGGGCCACTGCACTGAATGCTCACAGTTCAAGATCTCACGCAATTTTTACAGTATATTATCACCAGATATTTGGGTAAGTTGGAAAGTCTGTCTAAACCTTTCAGATGGCTCCAGTCTATAAATCCTGTAACCTATTGATGTATTGCCATTATTTCACAGCATATTTTTTCCATCCTTGATTTCATGACAGATTTATTGGATTCATGATTCATGATTCTTCATGAGGTGTGAATGGGGTTAATTGGTGACAAAAGATATTGTGTTTTTGTTTGGACTCTTCGTGTACTTGTTAATCCAATTTTCATGTGACGTGGCAATGTCATGTCATGTGCCAACATGAGTGATTCTTACTGAATATTATGTTTTCCCACTTATACCTGCTGTTGTCCCATTCAGTGTTTGCACAAGAAATTTATGCCAATTGCACAGTGCAGTGTAGCAGTTAATTTTTTCTCTTCAAAACAGTAATTTAACATGAGTTCAAAGATTTTAAAATAAGTGGCTGAACTCTAATGGAGATTCTGTACGATAAAAATATGCATCTTCAGAATTTTGTCATGGCATTAGAAAATTGATTTGTCTCTGAAGGGCTTTATTCTTAGAAAATAAGGTACACAAAACATTTTTGCACTTGAATTTGCCCACTTTCGCCTGAACAGCTTGACAGACTTCAACAGCTGACATATTTTTTTATGTGAGACTTAATGAACCGGATAGTAATTGTGTCATAAATTTGTGATATAGAGCCTTACCTTTTATGGAACAATTAATCATGTATCATGATCATGTTCTAATAATTACTCTACTAATTCTGCTGTTATATTTTAATTTTTCCCAAAGGAACCTTGAAAGTGACCCATGACACATTTGTTACTGGCACGAATAAATGACGATTTGTATGTCATGACATGCGTACATCCGCTTATGAAAAGTCACAGTTGTAATTAAATTGTAATTCATTGAAATCCAGTTGGATTAATAACCACGCAATATATCTGTGGCTTCAAGAGCTCATTTAGGTCACATTATGTTGTAACCTGCTCAGGTAAATTAATCAGTTGTCTTCAGACGGTCAGAATACAAGGATGTCTGGCACAAATGCAATGAGTGTTTAATGTCAAAAACTACCTGGCATCACATCCTTACTTAACTTGCCAGAATGTGTTTGGAGATACATTTCATGATTCTTCTGCGCCAAACAAATTGATCGTATGTCGTCTGGTGAACCATTTTTCTGCCACTGCAGAAACTCTTCACCGGGTTGCATAAAACATCAGGAGAGTGAATGCAGTGGACATTTCCAGCACTTTATTTAATATTGTTTTTTGTTTTATTATTCCAATGTAATTTTTTGACAAACAACATGTGATGAGATTGAGTTGTGTGACTTTGCAATCATGCTGTACATCATTTTACATATTTTTTTAATTTTATTCACAGTATACATACATGTATATGAACTTGTATATCAACTATTACGCAGTTTTAAATATGAATGTTATCTGTCTGAAATTAAACTTGGAATCACTATTAAAATATCTTCTTCTTTTTCCGGTTTAACAATGTTTGTACATTTTCCGGTACCCTTTACGGGTCCCCAACTTTTCAGTTGGCTTGATCTGTGGACATTCGGTTGGACTCCTTGGATGAGGGATCGGCCCGTCGCAAGGCCTATTAAAATATCTTCTTCTTTTTCCGGTTTAACAATGTTTGTACATTTTCCGGTACCCTTTACGGGTCCCCAACTTTTCAGTTGGCTTGATCTGTGGACATTCGGTTGGACTCCTTGGATGAGGGATCGGCCCGTCGCAAGGCCTATTAAAATATCTTCTTCTTTTTCCGGTTTAACAATGTTTGTACATTTTCCGGTACCCTTTACGGGTCCCCAACTTTTCAGTTGGCTTGATCTGTGGACATTCGGTTGGACTCCTTGGATGAGGGATCGGCCCGTCGCAAGGCCTATTAAAATATCTTGGGTTTACGTTATTCATTTCAATTCATTTATTAACAGAGAGGAGCCAATGACAGGAAGACATTGATAATATACAAAAAAAACAGACTAAACTAAATATATAAATGAATATATTTATAATAGATCAATCAAACACTTCCCTTATTGAGTATAATAGCCAATTACAGGCAAATACAGAAATAAAACCAATATAAAAACAAGTAAGAAAATGGTATAAATAAAAGGGCTAACTAATATGCAAAAGTGAGATACACTCTTCATTAAAAATGGAAATGCTCTTACAGACTGAGTTGGCAGCAGATAATAATAACAACAACAACAACAATTCAATTGTTTATTGTATACAAAAATAATAGAACTAGTGTTCATTGTTGACAACCATACTTTCAGTGGGGGCATTCATCATTCAAGATGCGTTTCTTGCCATATGTTTTATGAATGGGACGCATCAGATGTTGGCCTATTCTGATATTGTTAATTTATTGGGTGACGATATAACATTGACTTAGCTTAACTAATGAGCATCATTGCATTTTGGGTGTAACTTATACAGGTGACTCGTTACGCATGCTTTTGTTGTCTATGGTTCTATTTCAGTATTATGAAGTGTATCAGTATGAAGATTTCCGTCTTCTGGGTTGTTGCGCTGTGTAGTCTGGTCGATGTTAACCAACGTTTCAGAGGTCATACTGCCTCCGTCATCAGAGTATGAAGATTTCTGTCTTCTG